GTCTTTTATCTTTGAGGCAGCTCGAATTGGGGTGCAGGGTATCGTCAAGTCGGATAATCGCGATTATCTGGCCATTTACAGCTCCCAGCTGCAGCTTACATTAGTTACGAGCTTTCATAGTTGGGGCTTTTATCAGAGAAACGTGCTTGCATATGGAAGCTATTATGAGCGTATTTCATGAATCCTTTACTTTGCGTCAATTTTGCTATACGTACAAACCCGTAGACGTCAACAGATTGTCGCCAAAATTGGATCTGCTGCGTGATGTCATCGCATTGTTCCTGATCCGACTTTGAATAAAGTCAACAGTCTGCATGCTAATCAATTCAATAAGCTTTTCAATCAATGTGACAGGAAAGAACGCATTATTTTGGTCAAATTAGTCGTGAGCAGAACTTAAACTTCTTGATAAAACTTAACGGGAAACATATATGCAGTGTGTAACAGGCGAAAGGCGATATACCCGAGTTTATATAGTGAATATCTCTTTGATCAGCTTTGTCTGTCCTTCTGAATTGATGAAATTATAAGAGATGAATCTCATATATCTAATAAGAATATTAGAGTAGAGCCACCGAAGTTAGAGTATATTATACTTGCTAGATACCTTGTCCCGTTCCACACAATATAAAATGGTGTGCTGCAAATTTCATAGAGATCGGACAATAAGCACCGAATTTGTTCAAGAAAGCATTTCTCAGAGTTAAGGGCGATGAGAAAAGAGCACAGCAAGCGTAGAGTATCTCCTAGTCGGATACTCCCGACTAGTGCATTCGTACTTAATTTTATTTGAAATGTTTTCCTTACGATAAATTAAAAACAAATTTTGTAATTTTATTCGACAAGTCTTAAACATTAATCTATTTTATATAAACTCAGGAATTTTCATTAACTAAATCGTAAATTGTTTTATATTTTGCAGTTATATTTAACATTTCCTGCAATAATTGCTTCCAATCAACTGTAAATTGCCAAAAGAATTGAAAAAAACAACTCGAACTGAGTTTTAACTGTCAAATTTGCGAATTTACCGAAATGTGGAGCCTTAAGATTTTCAATAAAAGTGAGTAAAGCTTATATTCTTATAATCAGAGCCTTTAGATTTCAAGTAACAGTTTATACGAAGAAGAAGAAACTTGTGTAAAACAAACTTGTTTCAAAAAACAACTTAACTATTAACCAAAGGTTTTTAGGGCTTATCTAGACGCTTAGAAAAGAGTAATACTCTTCGTACCATAGAGTATTTACATTAAAAAGTCTGCTACGTTGCGTGTGGATCGTATTTTAGCCAAGTTTGCAACCAAAATGCAAAACGAACAAAATGTTTAGCGGCGGCAGCCACCACACAGCTTATACACAACTAGTGAGCGCGTATAAGAGTTTCAGCTGGGATGCGTGTCTCAGCTAACCTTTGCTAATAAGTCTATATACGTACATGTGTGTGTGCGTGTTTCTGTATTGTATAAACAATGTTTGTTTACATATGCATTTTATTTGCTTGAAGACTTAGCCAGACTTTACAATACTTAAACCGTATAAGAACAATATTTAATTTCTTAGAGAGTTTGTTTTTTATTACATGTGTGTTATATTTTTGTTATATTCCAGCATTCTTTGCCTCTCATTAAATCGGAAGACCGCGTTGTAAACAGCACAGGATCGCCATGGACGCCCCAGATGCCGGCCGCATTATCCGTGCGCCTGCTCGCCGCAAGCGGAATGACGAACAGCTGATGGACAGGGTGAGTACCTGGAGTAAATGGGTTGGTGGATAATCTTTGTCCATAAAGTCGGTCAGCTTCCACTTTGGCAGCGTGTTGAGTTTTTCGCCGTTCGCTTTGACAGTTTTTCCACATTGTCACTAGATTTGATTTTTCCTCACTTCGTCGCGTTTCATTGAACTCGATCACGATCTATTTATGGCCGCCTGCAGCGCGCGATCCAGTTTCCACAGTCTCTCACTGAACGAGTTCCCGAATGCAGCCCACATGCATAATTTAAACAACAACAAAAATGAAAGTTATACGCTCGCATATTGGAGACACCCGCTCCCAAATGCATTTTTTATAGTTTCTTGGGTATTATTAATTTTCGATTTGATTAATTGGATGTGGATGCAAAGAATGCGACCCAGTTTCATAAGCTAATTGGAGTCGCAGACGTCCTCCCACATTCACCATGCCCCAATCAGAAAAGTTCATTAACATGCAAGCGCTGGTCACGTAAATCTTACCTCCACCACACGCCCAACGAAACCGCCTCGCTGCGACTCTCAAGCAGCGCGCCACACACAAAGTAACCCACAATTAACGGGCTTTAAATTTCACGCAATTAACAGCAGAAACAAATAACAACAACAGCTCGTAACAACAATAGCAACAATTAGTTGGGTTTTATGTCAAGTTCAATGCACGCAGGCAGACGCAGACACCCCCGCCCACTCGCTGAAGCTCTTCAATTACAAATCTGCGAAATATTATTTAATAATAATGCTCAAAATCAGAAGCAAGAGCGCCTCGAGACTTTCTCTCCGAGTCGAATGCGAGAAACAAAAACAAAAGCTTCTCCAAGTGACCTTTTCACCAAAGGCACAACTTCACCACAGCCGAACATCAGCTGTGCGCTGGAGCCTCCAGCAGCAGTTGGAAGTTTAACGTTTGTTTGAAGTTTGAGAGTCACGATCTTGGCTCGCTCTTGTTGCCTCTCTCTCTCTCTCAGCCTGCTAACTGTTGTTGTTTTTGTTGTTGTGTCTGTTTTACTTTATCGCCTGTTGTTAGTTAATGCCTTTTACTCGCACCTCTCTCTCGCTCTCGCTCTGCGCTCCGACCACTGCTGCTGCGCCATTTGCTTTGCGCCGTTTGGCAGCCGCTGCGCTGTTTCAGTTACAATTTGTATTCCACTTGGTGCGCGGTTTTCTCGGTTTCTGGTCGCGTCGCCGCCGCCGCCGCCAACGCCACCTTCCCCTCAACCGTTGCATTGTGTATGGTGCGTTTGCTTTCCGTTAGTTGTTGCAATTTAGCATGTTGCAACAAAAAGTGCATGCGGCGCAGTGCTAAGGAAAATTATGAAAAAGCGCTGCAGAATTCCCAAAATGTGCTGTTGCGGTTCGCCTTTGCCGTTGTCTATTTAATTATTTATCTACGCAACAACAACAGCAACAATAGCAACTGTGCGTTTTTTAAGCGGCCTTCGGACATATTCGGCGCGTGTAATTCGGTCGCCGTCGCTGCCAACGCTGACGCAAACGGCGTCCGCAAATAACTGTCCGAGAGTCTCTCGCCCAGTTTAGCAGCGAGCAACCCCGAATCCGAATCCAAGTCCGAATCCGAATCGGAGTCCGCAACAACATAGCCCCACCACCACCCCCACGCCCGTCGCATGTGCTCGAGTCAATTATTTTGCAGCAGATTTTGTTGTTGTTCTTGTTTTGAAATTAATGAAATGATTAGATCATAAGGGGCCACAGCTTAAACTAAATATTCGTGTTTAAAAACGCAATTAGAATTCTTCGGAGAATTGAACTGCAAAGCAGAAATAGAGACTGGAGAAATCTCTCGATATTGTTGCCTAGTCTCGATACTTGCGTGTCTCTCTGCCAACTTTATTTATCGAACGACACTTGAATATTTGCTTGTACTATTGGACTGTTTATCACAAAAAGATACAGGCTACTAAAAATAAGAGTGCCCAGATAGTGAAGCCGAGAGACGAGTAGAATCCAAGGGCGAAACCGCCCCCCAAAAATGTCACTGCAAAATTAATTGAATCTCATTTCCCTTGCAAAATCAGACAGAATTACGGCTGAAAAACAAAACAACAAAACAAAAAGCACAAAATAAAAATAGAAAACTCAAGTCGAGCAATTGTCGCGGTTCTACGCTGATAACGGCATTCGGAAAAGGTGTCGACTCTCGCCCTGAAGGTGTGCGAGCGAGACAGCAGAGCCAAACGCGTTAAGAATACAACAACAACAACAACAACAACAACAAATGCAGTTAAATGGTAAATGCTGAAAAAGATAACAATGAAAGCGAACAATTAGGGAAAGAAATTTGGTAATAAAGTAATTGAAAGAGAATATGCTAATTCCTCCAAATAAGAAAACTCAAATCGAATCAAGAGTGTGAGCGAGTGCTCGCCTATGGCATACCCTGTAACTAAATAAGTTCTAATACTTATTGAAAATATGAAAAATTATTGAACTGTTTAAATTCTCATATATTATAACAAGATGGTATAAACCCATTAAAAATATAAGGTTGTCTGTATTCCTTCTAAAGCGGGTTCCCTTTTCGAAACTTAAACTTGTTGAGAATTGCAAGCCTTAAGCTTGTTGAAAATTGCAAGTAAACAAGAAAAGCAAGCGAACTTAAGTCATTTTTCTGTGTTTTTTATAAACTTAAAGAAACATACACATCTGAGATTTGTTAAAAAAATGTAATATTTATAATTTGGGGTAGATATCGGAAAATATATAATCCCAGAGTTGCTTTTAACAATAATTGTCAGTTCTTCAAAAGAAACACTTGTTCATAATGTGTGTTGCTTCTGTATCTATGCGTTCTTTATGCACACTTCGACCTGGTTACAGGGTATCGCCCAGTCTGGCACTCTCGCATCGATCACACTTATTCCTATTATTTGAAGTAATTGGAACGTAACCCATTTGGCCGCGTGCCGGGCGAAAATATTGTATAGCTCAGCAGCAGCTGTTTATATATATATATATGAGTGTATATATATATATGGATATATGCATGAATGTGCACATAATTTAATAGAGGTGCCTCACAAAATGTTTAGACCCACAAAGACAATTGACATTTACATCAAATGAAAGGCAGAGAGCAAACAAACGGCAAAAAGAAAAACAAAAAAAAAAGAAATGCAAACAATGTAAATCGCCAAGTGCAAAATCAAACAACAACAAAGAAGAGTGAAAAAATTGTTTATTGTTCAAATCAACACATCAACAACAACAACAACAACAACAACAACAATAGAAGCAGCAGCAGCAACAACAACAACAGGTACACATGCGGCATTTAATCATGACCCCAACGTCGCTGTCGATGTCGACGCCAACGCTCTCTTCGCTGCATCATCAGCGCATGTCGCAGTCGCAGTCGCAGCTGACGCTTCAGTCGCAGTCACCGTCACCGTTGACGCCGCATTCGGCGTCCCCATCATTTTTCGGCATCTCCGGCACCTCCCCGCACTTCCCGGCCAACTATGAGCGCAGCGAAAAAGTGAGTTTATTCCCCATTCTCACCTCTAACAGTTACGGTACATGTGGGTGAATATGCGACTACAAGTTATACCATAGTGGTGATTTATGTGTTTTAGATGATTGAGGTGAAAAACACGCAGAAAACAGTTGTATTCAACTTTTTGGCTTACCATTAGAAAACTCTGTGAAAATTCTTTTCTGAGGTGGTGAAACCGAGCAAATCACAAATACTCTATAAATACGGGTTTCGATTTGTTAGCTTTTCCCAGTTGTTACTTATGTCATTGCATGACAAATGCTCAAATTTTAAAGTTTTTCTTTTTAAACAAAAACCAGCAAAAGTCAATGACATTTGCGCATTTCTCTGCGTATTTTGTGGTCCTAAATTGGGCACCCAAATATCTAAGGCGAGCTGAATACTGAATACTTTGCAAATGCGATTGTGTTAATTACGGCTTTAATTTGCATTTTCTAATTACAAATGCGGATATATACGAAAATTGACCCAATTTCTAAGTTAATTTCATACTGAATATGGTTAGAAGAAGGGGCATATTGAATAAACTATTACCGAATTCCTATATTATACATATTCCAGTTCGATCTCTAAAACAATTAATGCTAGAAAATGCAAAGTTATGGCAAGTGAAAATAACAAGGCAACAATAAAATGTAATATGGGAATAATAATTAGTATAATATTAATCTCAATATATAACGATTTTGTTTCTGATTGACTGATTGATTGATTGATTGTCCCAAGTTTCACTGTGGTTACATTAAGTGCAAATTTGCATGCTACAGGGTATCTGTTCGACTCTTACTCGCTTAACATACTTTTCCTATAGGACAAAGCATCCCTTTACTGCAAATCTGCATTCAATATATTGGCTTTTCAGGCCTTTTCATCTGCCACCTGTAAGTTCTCTGTTCCCACAGAGTTTGACCTTTGAACGGGCCGCCAACTGACATTGAATGCGAATTCAGTTATAATCCCAGCTTACTTTTTTCGCTAATGCAGCTTTCACTGACTTTTTCAAATGCCAGCGCCGCAATTAAAGCAGAGCAATTTTCCAATTTGTACAAAGCGTAATCGTTGCACTTTGCGCAACAATTAATCAAGAACAACAAGAACAATATAGGGAAGGTGGGCCCCAAATCGGGAGGCACAAAGTTCAAGGTGAGCCCAGTTGATGACGACATCAGCGCATGGTTGGAATTTCTTCGCATGCAATTGTTAGTTCATTAGTTGGCAGATTTGTGGCTGCAGGTGGCAGGCGTTTGTTTTCCCTTTCATTTTCATTACGAGCAACTTTGTTGCCACCTTGCGGTTTGGTGTTGTTGCTGTTTTTTTTTTTTTTTGCGTTTTGCTGCTGCAGTTGGAAAAAAGCCATTTTCCAGACGCTTTGCGCTTTTTGGAGCAGAAAACATTAAGAAGAAAAGTTGCGTTTATGTGGCGATTGGGGTTTTCCTGCGCATAGCTGCAGCATTTTCTATATGCAGATAGTCCCCCCCCTCCCCCCTCTTCCCACTCATATTTTCTACACGAACGCTGGACATAATTGCCTGGCTCAGCTGTCACGCCCACCGCCCACGCTGCGCTGGCGAGGCAAAGCAAGAAAAGCGTAATTGTTTTGGCCCATATGAGGCGGCGAGTGAGAAAGGCGGCTCATCTAAATGCAGATTGGACATACTCGATGTTATCTTCGTGTTGCAAATGCATCGAAAGTAAATTGCAATGTATATGCTGCCGCCGTTCCACCTTGCCACGCCTCTCCCGTTTGCTGGGCAAACGTGAGCAAAACTATGTGTCTAAGATTTCCTTTACTTGTTTTGTTCTACTTTTTGCCAAGCTGTCGCTTTGGGAAAGTGCTATTCGTCCGTTCATCTTTCTAGTTGCTAGCGACTGTCGTTTATGTCGTTTATGATATTTGCCATTAGTTGCGCGACTTTCTAACCGCCTGCAAGACAAATCTGCTGCTGAGCAAAAGAAAACTCTCGTTGCGCTCAAAACAAGCACCGAGCAGCCTCCCCCCCGCCTGCCTGCCTGCTCACAGCTGGCCACTGCGATTCGAATAGTCAACATTCATCCTGTATGGATGATGTTCCAGTGAAAGCTTGTGTCGACATCCACAACGGGGCAGGCGAATCGGTGCCAAAAGCGATAATAGTCCACTGTTCTGCTATTAATATAATCAGAAATTGACAAAAGTAGCAGGCAAAACAATTAACACTGCTACAGTGGGCCTGCTCGACTAGGAGATACCCTGCACATGTGGAAGAATCAATATTTATACGATAGGCTACATGCAAAGCTTAGATCTACCCAGATATTACATACTTCTCAAGTTCGATGGCGATCAGTATATACGAAAATACATACGAATATTAAAAAATACCTGTTGTATTTTAGAAAATCGACCCGTTCACACAAACGGATAGACAGAGGAACATTGACTCATCACGTCAGCCTGATCAAGAGTATTTATACTAAATGTGGTCGGAGATACGTTCTTCTGCCTGTTAGATACCTTTTCACAAAATCATTTATTCGCTAAGTTTTTACTTGTAAGGCAATTTTTAATGGAAGCCTGTAAGAAACTAAGAAGAATGCTCAAAAATGAGTTCATCAACTAATATGGCATATATATAATGTGAGTTTTTAGGCATCGGAAAAAGAACATATGATGAGCGAGAATGGTAGATACGAAAACTTATCTACCAAGTTTGCTGTTTGTACTTAGTTCTGATAACCTCACAAAAAACAATCTGAAGCTCCATAACTATTGTTTTCGGAAAAAAAGATGCTAGTTTTCGACATATATTTCAAACTTAAAGTCTCTGATACAATATATTAACTCCATGGCTCAACATCAAAGTACAGGGTATATATAAATTTTAATATTATTCACATTGATCTTCTCTGTCCGTCTGATTGTCCGTCTCTTTCTGACATCTTTTATACACACTGTGTATAAGAGTATTCGGTGATGTGTTTATTTTCTTAAGCTTAGATGAATGCCGCACTGGCATTAATTAAAGAGAAGTTGTTTGATTAAAGGCTAAGCATCATGGTATTATTTTAGTAAATGCACATTTAGGAGGAGCTAATCACGCAGCTTGTGTCATGTTCAGTCAGCTAATAATAACACAGGGGAGCTGCAGTCGAATTGGTTTCCACCAATCATTTGTTGCCATAAAGAGCGAGAAATCGAGTGTAGGCTCTAAGCAACGTTAATCTCCAGATCTGACTAGCACAGTGGTTCAGCACATGGAACTGGTTTCCCGCTCTGCTCGCCAATGTTTCACTTTTCAGCGACTAGGCCAAAAGTGTCTATTGCCTTGTCTTGGAAAGGAAATGCGCTCTCCACTCTCACACTCGCTTGTCACACTTTCCCATTTAATGCCCGCTCATTATAACTTTTTGAATATCTATATAGAATCTACAGAGAGAGAGAGAGAGAGAGAGAGAGAAACTTGGCCAATTGAACTACTCGGGAACTCCTACAACAGGGTATTGGCAAGTCGGTTGCGTCCGACTGCAACGTTCTTGCAGTTCGATTTTTAATTTTTTTAACGCCAATCCAATTTCTGGCTTATAGCCAAAATGTATGTTTGAATAGTTGCACAATTTGATGGCCTTTTCTCAGCTTTGGCGTGAAAAACCCGACTGCAGACCTGGGCTGAAACAGAGTCTTGAGCAAAAATCGTGCGGCTGCTTATTCGAACAGCTTTTGGGCATGCAACGAGGGCAACTTTGTTTTGGCTCACTCTCGTAGCAGTACGCCGCAAAGAGGCTGTTATTTCATTCATTTAATTTATGTAAAGCCGCAAAGGGTACTCTACTGCATACGACTTTATATAATTATGTGCCGCTAACGTATGATTAACCAAAAAAAACAAATGGCAGCCAAAGTGGCATTGGTTCAGACTAGCTACAGCCATTTGGCTAATGTCTTGCCACTGCACTGGCTCTTGTATCTCTTTTTGTCTCTCCCCCTCTGAGTTCTCTTGGCTTGTGGGGCACCCACGCAAAAAACGACCCGGATCTGCCCGGTCCAAATGCAGCTAAAAGCTGCAGTTGCCGAGCGCATTTGTCCAGCACCATTTGAGAAAGTTGTCTGCCACTTTCAACTTTTGCATGTCGTGCTATTATTATACCATGTACCCACTGCAACTGGGTATATTGCAATATTTCGCAAGTGTATGCCTGAAAGATTCTCCGACGCCGCACACGCACGCCCACACGTCTATTCTAACTAGAGATATATATATGTTTGCGTTTATCATTTGCAGAATGCGATGATATTTTTGCGATAACTTTTCCCATTTTTATAATATCAATAAATATAGTTATTGTATCAAAGGTTTAATAGGCATAAACGAGATAAAAGAGCTCGAATCTATAAATTTTTTTTTTAGATGAATAGTCTTGGTCTTTAGTATATGCATTCAACTGGTTGTCATATAAAATGCCTGAGTATTTCATTAAGATTGAACAATAAACACCTGAGTTACGTAAGGTTGAATTTCGCATAGGATGAGGCTGATGGAGAAATAGGCGCAGATTGAGTATAAGTATCTCCGTATGTATTCGTAGAAATAAATACAAATGTATTGTAGTTCGAAGCTAAGTACAGACTATCTCCTAGTCGGGCATGCTCGACCCAAGGCGCTACTCTACAAGTTTTGTCTGCCTCGTTGGCAAAGGTTTCTCGCTGCGAGATTTGAATTTTGGCTGGTTGCTTTTTTTTTATTAGAGCTTCGTATGCAAGTTTGTCGGTGTGTTTGTAATTTTATTAGGTTGATCTCGTTGCTAATTTTTGTGCATCGATGTGGAAAACGCTGTCCGCTTGCCGCCAGAAAATTGTTTTCCCTTTTTTACTTTGCCGCCTCGAGCGCAGTCACCCATGTTGCGTTGGCTTTAGCTACTTGTAGTACTCATTTTCTGGATTGTTGCTCAAAAGTGAGAGAAGAAGTGTTGTGCCATTAGCACGATTCGTGTTTTGGCTAATGCGT